AGCAGAGTCTTAGCAAAACGCTTCGGACTGGATTTTGAAAGCATGCTTTTTCACATGTATTTTCACCAGTGGTGTATTATTATTAGATTTCATCATGAATATTGGTGTGTATATATGCAGCAAAGGCAGGTTTGCAAATCGACAGCAATGATGATAATTTGGGCAGGTGCATTTTTGAGAGTCTGACTATTTCAGTATCTCGGTTTGTAAAATAAGCACTATTTTTACATATCTTGCAATGTGCCTTGGAAGTCTGGAATTAGGAAATGTTAAACAAGTGCCAATAATTGTTGTTCTTACTATTGTGATAGATCTTCTTGGTTTTAAGATAACTTGAATTGTAGTTCCATTAACAAGTGAAATTTTTCCCTGTATCTCTACTTTTAATACATGTGTGAAGTTTACCAGCTTGTTATGTTTCTATTTTATCCTTTTCTTAATGCAAAAAGTGCTATATTTGTCTTGACTTTGGTAACTTCTTACACATGTTCTAAAAATATTAAGAAGGTATGCTGTGTTTTTGTTCTCCCTAACTCAACATGCCATTTTTTGGATTGTTTTCCATGAGCTGAGAATGTTATGAGTTAGACCCCATCTGTTTTCATGTGTTGTGGGAGCAGTGAAATCATAGTGGTTGTGGAGGTTTGTTTGTTTTGGAGAGACAATTTTTTCTTTTTTTCCCCTATTCCATTTTCATTTGTCTGTTAAAGGTGTTGGATTGTGGTGGTTGCAACTCTTGATGTGGAAGTAGCTTGAATAAGCTCCTTTAAAACTTGGCAGTCACTGTCCTAGGATGGATAGATGTGTTGTCTAAGGGTGGATTTCATAGCCACTCTGCTCGCATTAGGTAACATTGTCAGGTCTTTAAGGCTAAATGCTGATCCCTGAGCTTCTACCTAGCACAAGTATTGTTCTGGTTTTTGTTTTGTTTTTTAATCAAGCGTCACTGCTTTGCAACTCCTCATATTTGTGAATGCCAGCGAACCTGAAAGCTGTGGAAAGCATTGCTTCCTCCTGGAATGAGCCTACGCAGTACTCCCTTTGTCGTGTGTGGTGTGGAAGATTTTCTCAGCTGGTGTGAAAAGGCTCAAGTCCGTGAGGATTCTGTAGATGGTCTGACTGGAAGGCATACTGCTCTGGGAAGAAACAGTCCTTCTATGGCTTGGTGGTAGTACGTCTGTGGATGCAATAATTTTCTCTTGTTTTGTTAAACTGCTTCCTTATCATAAAGTTAACAGCAGAGTAAAGGCATATTAGGTCATTTAGCTCATCCTCTGCCAGAGGAGCAGCGTTCGCTGCTGTGCTGTAATTCAGGAGCTTCATCCAGGCTAGTTTTAAATGAAGGGCAGACAATGTTTTGCAGACCAAGGTCCAGAAATTGTAAAGCTACTTGAATCTTTAACTCCTGCTGATTGTGTTAGGTATTGTGTTAGGTCTATGTACTTTTATAAAAACGTAGGCTGAAGAAAATGACTCTCGTCAGTTTGTATTTTGATACGCTGCAGTTTGTTTAACCGAACCCATCTACTCAAGGAGAAATGCGAAAGTGGAAAAAAATCAAAGCTATCATAATTTTAAATATTTGAACCTAGATACCTTTCAGTGTATCAGTCCTTGGTTTTAAAAGCTTTAGCTGCGCTGTGAGCATGTGAGGATAGCTATGTAAGGAAATATGGGGTATCTCCTTACTCCACAAATGAATTGTCTGTAGCAGAGAAGGGAAAATAATCTTCAAGAAGTTACCATTTGACTGCCTGTACAGTGAGATGGATATAGGCATCACCTTAATTTCAGTCCTTTCTCCAGCACAGGATCAAGCATAGCTGAGCTGTATGCCTGTGACTTACAGTGTAGTTGTTGCTCATGGGACAGCCTAACTGTGTTTCCCTTTATTTAGCTCTTGCAAAATTATCATTGAGCCCCTCCTTCAGTCCTCTGTGTGTGTGTGTGTTTGGGGAGTGAGACTGTGATGGGATTCCTCTTTGGCAGGGGAATTCTGTCAGATGAGAAGGGTGCAGCTAGGAAGAGAAAGGACAACAGGAATGATCAAATATGTATATTTAGCTAGGGTAATGTGATTGCTAGCTGATCACAAGGGAGACAGTCATTGGTATTGTTGAACTCTTGCCTCAGATATTTGTCCGATTCAAAAGTGTTTGCAGGACAGGGAATTAAACTGTTTGGAGCAGGAACAGAAATAGAAAGAATATTTTAAAAGGAGAGAGCGAGCAGCAAAGGTCAGCTTGACTCTGCACCTAAATTTGGCAGCTGGGTGCAGAGCTCTGGCTGTCAGACCTCTGAAGAACGCATTTGTTTGTGGGATTACCTGAGCTTTGACTGACAGTGTTACCTGATGTGTTCCTTTGCTGTTCTGTGTTCACTTTTAATGCACAGCACACTATTTTTGCGCTTTTCAACAGAGGAGCAATGTTCTGTGACTTTATAAAAAGAAGCTAATGTAGGTTCTAAAGGAAAAGAAAAAATCTGCTTAACAGGGCAAAAAATGGCATTATATGATAATATTTCTACCTCGTTTTCGATTGAGAATTCAGTACGAACATTTCCAAAGTCTGAAATACACCTGGTAGATTGTAGCTGGTATAGATTTTTATCAATGTTTATACATTTCTCTTAAAGGTCAAGAAATGTCATAAGAAAAGACTGAAAGCACTTCATGTAAATCGTTCCTGGAACATATCCAAGTGGCTTTTATCTCCTGGCTTTGATTTTTTTTTTATTTTTTATTTTTTAAGAGCTGCAAGCAGCAAAGCCACTTGCTCTCCACTTAGGAAGAACAGGAACGTGGGGAGAGGGAGAAACCGAGGGAATGAAAAAGGACTTGGTGAATGCATCGGTTATGTTTTTATGTGGAATGTGTATTCCTTCATCCTAAAAGGATCCTGTTTGTCTTGGCTAGAGGCTATGAGATGAAACCAACCGGTTGACTAGCTTGAGGATGTTATCAGAGATGGTCGAATCATGTTATGGTGCCTCTGAGTGTCATCTGAATATGGGGTAATTGAATACAAAAGGCCTGGTGGTGTTTGAAACATTCATACTTGGAATAAAATCTGTGAGGGTGACACGTTCGTATGTGAGTTGTAAGGGAAAAATGGAAGGGACAGCACCAGCTTAATTATTGAGTAAAGTCAGGAGATTTTTACCTCTTCTCTCTGACCCAAAGTTAATAGAAAATACATTTTGTGTTTAGGCTTTTTCTTACAAACAGATATTCATTTATTTATGTTTAATATCTGATCCTTCTAAATAGTAAATTAGGCAGATGATGACAAAACCTCTGTGTAAGGAAACTCATTGTGCAGAGCGGATCCGGTCAGTGATGTGATGCTACCAGGATGGCCAGCCCCTGTCTGCACCAGTTAACATGCTGGCCCACAGTCACAGATCTGATCACGTCCCCCGAGGCCGGACAAGGGCCAGCCTGCTCTCTTGGGTCCTAATCCACTCAGCTGTTAAGCTCTACACTTTCCTGGCTCTCAGTGGGCTGCAGCGTGTCCCTACAGCTTACCATGGCCTCTTTTCTTGGGTGCTAGGTTTGTCTTTTCCTCTTTAGGCTCATGAAGTCTAAGCAATTTAAACTCGTGCTTTCCCTTGACTCCAGCTGTGGAGGCTCTCAAGGCCACAGGTGGACTCCTCAGGGCATGCATTAAGCATAAGTAAGCAGAAGCAGATTTTTCTTAAGGTGTTGAGTATCAGAGTTAATAGCAGAACTAAGTATACAGGTTTAGGCAAGAATAATAAATCCCATGTACGGTTTTTATCGGAATGATTTTTTGCCTGGATGGTCCTTCTGGTACGTAACTGTATTTATTTATTTCATGTATGTATTTATGTTCTTGAGTCACCCAGGCATGCTGCTGTTGTCTTAGGGGGCCTGCTTCCTAAGTGTCTGGTCAGCGGGCAGCCAGCAGTGGCAGAACCCGGCTCAGCCGTTCTGCCGTGGCATCAGTGTGCCCTTTCAGGAGTATGCTGAAAACAGATCCTTTTTAAAAAAAAAAAAAAAAAAAAACCCAACTGTTTCTGAAACTAAGCTGAGAACAAATTACATAGATTTTGAACTTCTGTGTTTGCAGCAGAAAGTCTGAGCCAAAAAGGGCTGGCAAATTACCTTGGAGTCTTATTTTTGGGGTGTCAGAGCTTTTACTTCGAAGAAAAATGGTTGCTTTCCTGCAGGCAAACCAGATCGTTCAGCAGCACCTGAGGAATCCCAAGTGTAGACAGTGAACTACGCGTTGGTTTCGAGACTACCATTTTATTTTCTAGACCTAGGGCTCTGGAGAGGAAGGCAGAGAGGGAAGGATGATGAGATTATAAAAAATAGTTGTTAAAGTTATTGGGTCTTGTAATGCACGAGAGACCGTCTGTGCCAGTTACGAAATAGGGCTTTAGAAAAGCAGAGGCCTCAAAGTACTGCTCTCATCTTGAAAGCATATGCTGGTATGGCAAACTGGTTCTTCAAGTAGTTGTCTGGAGTTTTCTGGAAAAGACAAAGAGAACAAACAGAAGCCAACCAGGTTTCTTCCTCTACCCTCATACCAGTACTTGTAGCTGTCTGTGCTGATATTTCCGAATTCCCATCTCAACAGCTGATAAAGAGTAATTTAGACTTTGTAACGAGGCCTTCAGCGCTCATCTTTTGAGAGCTGATGTGTAGTTGTAACTTCATTTAATGAACAAAGCAAAGCTTTGCTAACTGGGATATAATTACCCAGTGTTCACAGAAGATGTTACAACTCTCATATTTACAAATATGTGACTGTTTTGTTCTCTCTAGTTTGAAAAATTATTTTCAAGATATTCCTTCTATTTATAACCCCCAGAAGAGTACTGTAGCAGTCAGCTGCTTGCCTTCCCTAGCATCTGCTTTGATACTGTATACAAATGACAAATTCATAATTGTCATTCCTGCGTGGAGTGCTCTGAAAATTTGTAACCCAATTAAATAATTGTGTTTTTTTTTCTTAAATACATATTTGCAGCTGAGAGTTACAAAGAAACCCAGATGGTAAAGATAAAAGAAGAACCAATGGAAGTTGACATTCATGACTCGCAGGCTTCAGTGTCACCTGGCCAACCCAGCCAAAATGTTGGCTACAGCACTTTATTAGGGCGAGAGATTAGTGAACATATACAGAAGGCACCAGAAGGTCGTGTACTCCCAGAAAGAAATCTCTTCAGCCAGGATATATCCGTGAAGATGGCATCCGAGCTGCTCTTCCAGTTATCAGGTAAAAGTAGTGGAAATAGTTGATAGCAGAATTTAAAGAACAAAAAAAGATTGCGTATAACCATTGAAGAGCTATGAAGGTGTGAGACTGCTAAGGCTGAAAAATAATAGGAGTTAGAGCCCTTCTACCCTCACACATGAAATGCAAAAGCCCTGCCAAATGTTCCCCACGCTTAACATATGCTTCAGAGCACTGTGACAGTCAGGTCAGGTTCATAATGTTTGAACTGAATTGGAAAAGCTGGAGTTCAGCTCCTGTATTTTTGAAAGCTAATTAAATAACTTATGACAGCTGGTTGATCGAGGCCTCAGAGTATAGGGCATCTGTAGATGGCAGTTAGCGGCATAAGTGGCCAGTGGCCGCAGCGTAGAGAGTTCCTGCAGCTGTTCGGTCCACTTCTCTTTACAAAGAAGGTGAACCTCAGCTGTTAAATTCAGGCGATGATTTCAGCATTGTGTTTAACAAATGTTTGTACTGCGAAATCTGCATGGAGCACTAACGCTGAAATATGAAGCAGGACCATTTTGGTGGGAATTACAGTTTAAATAAAATCATACCGATGTTCTAATCATATTGCAACCATTTGCCCTAAATTATTCTGGATTGCACTCTGGAATGAAAAAGGATTAAAATAATTTTACTGAATAAAACCCAATAGGAAAAGTAAGATTTATTTATTTATTTATTGGTGTGTGTGTATGTTTATACATGTCATATATATATAGATAGATAGATATAGATATATACACATACATATATACACATGCTAATCAAAAAAAAATATTCCTCTGCAGAAAAGGTGAGCAAAGAGCACAATCACAATAAAGATAACACCATCAGAACTACAACCAGGTAAGTACAGTCCATTGTTATTTGTAGAGCAGTAGTTGTTGCCTTGTGAACTCAGATGTGTTTCTTGCATATGTGATCTTATATGAAAAAGTATATTACACTTATATTAAAAGCGTAAGATATTTTCAAGCAGTAATGTAACCCATGCCTGAAGAATTACACCTATAGATCTGATTATTTGGAATCCGTGAGATAAAAGGCCTTTGTGCCAAAATAACTGTTCTCTGATCAAGAGATCATGATCGTGCATCATGTTAAGAACTGTTTTTTCTATTTTTTCTGCCAAAACTGAACCTTGAAAGAAACTGCATAGTGCATGCAGTGCTTGAGGGAAAAACAGGCTGACAACTGGATTTTAAGACATGGACCAGTGTAAGAAGAGGTGTTATGATTCAGTCTTCTGTCAGACTTGGATTTCTTGAATAAAATTTCAGTTCAGTATTTTTATCATCTCAATGTCTTCCGGAGATGAATTTTTAAATGTCAGAGACCATGCTAATGAAACATTTGATCAAGATTATAGTCACATTAACAAAATAAGTTAAAATGTACAGGAATTAAGAATGTGGTTCAATTAGAGCATATGCTGTTAAGGAAATATGCACTTTACAGTATTTTGGCTGGGAACAAGACCACAAGTTGTTCAGACATAAATAAGTGAGTGGCAAAGTGAGGTGTCTCTGTGAGAAAATTCAAAGATCATGTAACGAGTGGCAGCAAGAGCCAGTAAAGTCTTAGGGTACCCATGGTGAGAAGTAAGCAGGAATTGGGTGCTAAGTCCAAAACTTAAATTGTTCATACCCTCTTCAGCTCTCACCTAGCCCTGGGGTCAAGGGCACATTTACTTCCTACCTGAAAGTTCCCTGGTCAGTGTGGATGGGTTGGAGACTGAGCATGCTAAAGTGGTGAAGAGTTCCCTCAGAGAGGGACTAAGACCTTCTGTGCCTCTGCAACCCCTCCTATAGAAGTTCTCAGAGTGTACAGTGCCTGCTAATTACGATGACTTTTTCTAGACATAACTTCAAAAACATTCCACTTGCAGAAGAAAATAACTCTAAAATATATCGCTCTTAAATTCCTAGACCCATCCCATTCATTCATCACTGTGATAAATTTGTTTTTAATAAACTGAACAGCTCAGTAAATGTACGGTAGGGACCTTTTGATTTTACAAATTGAAAGAGAATTAAATTGAGCTTTTAACTTCTGGCTACTGTAAATGCTTTCCATGTTTGCTAGTTTGGGTTTTCATGGGATGTGCAGACTGTATAGCCTTCTCGTGACTCCTTACAAAGCATAAACCTGAGAGTTATAGGCAGAGGTAAATGCACGTCTTCTCCAACTATGCATTCACCATCCAGTGTGCATTATGGGGAGGGGGTGATAAATAGTGTCAGTCAGGTGAAAATAGATTTCAATGTCTGATGATATCACTAGCAGGACCAATGTGAGAACCCCCAGAGATTGTCTGCCAAAGATAATTCAGACTAGAAAGGCTGAGGACAGTTCGAAGATAACTGTGCCTTCTGGCTGCCAACTCGTGTGAGGGTAGCAGAGCTGGTTGTGGTCAAGCTTACACTGAATTTTACTAGAAGTCCTGATAATGGCTGCTGCCCATCAGGGTATGAAAAGCTGAGTGCCTGATCCAGTTCTTCTAGGTGCTTTTCTTGTCTTACCTATCAACAGAAGAAGACATGAATGAGAAGAGCCAGAGCTCCTTAATGGGACGTGAGTTAGTCTACTAAATCCTGCAAGTTCAAACAGATTGACCCAAAAAACTTGGCAAAAAACCAAACCAAAACAAAAAAACAGTTGGAAGTCTTTACTTGATGGTGACTGTATGAAACCTTCTTGAAAATAGAACGTGATGGAGCAGCCAGTGGAGGATAGAGGCACTAGTGCTGCATTAGGAAACTGTGTAGTTAATTTGGCTAACCAACCTACAGCTAGAGTAATGACAGGAAGACATTTGAATCATGATGGTTATGTGAAGCTCGCTGAAAGCTGCAGAGAGCCGAGGTGAGGTCAGTGTTGTCCACCTGTGAATAGGTGGGGAGTGGAGGGATTTAACTATCATTAATGAGAGTCCTAAGTCAGCAAAACCCAAGAACATCGGGGTATAGAAATACTTTTTGCTGTCTTATTCTATATTAACAATTTTAACTCTCACCTATCTGTTGCTGTTCCTCCTGTGAGTATTCCTGGACTGTGCAGGCATATACGTCCTTATGACTTTGTTCAAGGAGCCGAAACTGGTAAGGATTCATCACAGTTCAATGGCTGAGTGAGATGGTCGAGCCTGCCATCTGTGATTTGAAGATAGAAAGTGGAGAAGCAAATGATCTGGAAGTGAGCATGCCAGCGTAAGATGCCAGGATGAATTTCTTTCATCTAGGAAGTAGAAAACTGTGTAGCCATAAAACTGGAAAGGTACAGCTAGAAAGAAAAATCCTGAAACTTAATCCTCTTCAGAAGGCACTTTGCACAGTGACTGAGAACAATTTATTAGCTTCTTACTATGAAGCAGGAGCTCCTCCCTCCGTATTTTGCATTGGGAATTGGAGTGCATATCCATTGAAATCAAAAGCAGTAACAGGGCTGACACTGAAGAGACACAGCTGCCATTCTAGAGGAGGGCAGAAAAGAGGTATCGAAGCGTGGCTCTGTAATTCAGCAGAGCCTGATTGGCGGAGAGGGAAATCCTTGAGATCTCAACACGATGCAGTCTTCAGCAGCAGCCAGCTCATGATATACGGCTTCGTCTGAAATAGATGAGCTCTGGATCATTCATTTTGCTTAGAATCAGCAATGAGCAGTGTCCCACCGACTGAATCTAAGACGCAAACAGGGAGGCCAACATGGAAACCTGAGCAGATTACAAGATTTTGAAGAGTTACAACAATAATAAATTTTTGTTGGTGGTGTTTTTCTTTCAGATGATTATTAAACCAGTGAGAGGAATGTTGCAGTAAATGATGCCATATTTTTATACAGCGTCAATCTGTTTTATATTATGTTACCCCTGAGTGGGAGTGTGAGTCTTAGAAAAAGTTAAGTTTTGTACATGTGGACTGGAGCTGTTTGCATTAGCCTGACTAATCATTTGCTTTCTTGAGTATTGCACATTGTTCAGCTGTCTGCATACCCTGAACTGTTCAGGTTTTGGGCAGCTTCACACCTTACCTCCAGCACAATTTAATGTTGACTATGTGTTTGTGGTTATGTTCAAACTTTTGTAGAAATACCAGAATATCCCATTAAATGTCCCACGTGGAACAGAACAAAAAGAATGAAGGCCAAAAACTGTAATGGGAGAGTAACGTGATTACCAAAAGTGTTGTTAGATCAGGTTAACTGTAATTATCAACAGGTTTCTCAATGGCAAAAGAGATCTGACTGTAAACACAAGTAAATCAGTGAAGAATGCATTGCGCTCTCTCTGCAGAAAGGCTTTAGGAGGGAAGATTTATGCATGTTGTTGTTTAGATTGACACCTTGCGTCTCTGGACCAGTACGGTTACTTTGGTTAGTGCTGTTGGCACATGCAGGCTGGGTCTGGACTCCCCACTGTGCAGCACTTCATAAAACCTGATACTATGTTCCTTACCCTGTAAAGGTTCCTGGATTTTTATTACTGAAAAACTGCAGGCTGCAGAAATGAGCTGGCCTCCTGTCCTACACCTTTAAAACACCTATTATACACTAGCTTGTTATGGATTCTCAGTACAGTAGAGATCAAATTTAAATGTAGTCTTCATTTTACTCATAAGAAATATATACTTTGTAAGTAGGTGAAATACACTACCTTGGAAAACAGCTTTCCAAAAAAAAGCATGTCCTTTTCTGTTTTTCTGATGTACCCGTTACTGATGCCTGTACTGTAGACAAGGGAATTTTATTTCTATTATGATTTTTAGTTGAGCACAAAACAAAATACTCTGACAGAAATGCCTGTTCAGTATTGAAACTGACTTTTTATTGCCTGTTAATTAAAACCAACACACCTTACACTTTTCAGAGTGAAGTAGAGATGATTTCAAAATGGTATTTGCACTTAATACTCTTTGAGAAGCCACTATTCAGTTAGCTTTTATGAATTGTTTCCTGCTTTGAGAAGAGAATTAATGGAGTTAATTTCATATGTGGAAAGCCATGTCGAAGGAGAACCATTAACCTAAAATTTTCAAAGTCTTGTTTTGAACATAATTCCTATATTCATTAGATTTTTAAATAGCCTAAAATATGGAATAAAATATTTTCGACCTGTCCACATTGCCCTCCTCAGATATGAAAGTAAAATACAATTCTTGAAACATTGATTTTCATGATCCATATTGTGATGTGATATTACCAATTCGAGATGTCGAAGTGCTGTAACTAAAAATGTTTTGGGAAGACTTCTGTCTTCATTCTGAGATGCAGGTTTACCAAAGCATGCCTCTTCGCCACACTTTCCCTCACAGTCAGCGTATTTTTCTGCATGAATTCTGTAAATTACATTATTATATTTGTTATAATATTAAGGTATTAGAGTCAAAAGTCATACTTATTTCTTCTGTTGATTGCAATTTTGTTTACAAAAAGACATCTTATTTTCCCCATAGCCCTTTCTTTTCTGAGGACGCATTTAGACAATCACCGTTCACTTCCAACTCAAAAGATCTGCTGCCTAATGAAACAGCTCTTCATGGAAGGACACCTGCACCAGGTCAGATACGTTTTTCTTTCATTACTTCCAGTTAGTTTAGTTTTTTTTTTTTCCTTACTGTGAACTGCACTGCCTTTCCAGTCTTCTTAAACTGCAGTCTGCTTTGTCAAAAGGAAACAGTCTCTCCATCACAATCATTACTTACTGCTAAGAAGAAAAAAAAGGTGTTTTTATAATTGCTGAAGCATTTGTTTTAATAGCTTTGCACTACTGTTTCTCTGAAACGTACATTGAAACAACGAGTCTGTAAAAGATAAAGCTCAGCAGTATTAACAGAGCTGTTTTATGTGTGTTGCATATTTAAAGGAACTTTACTGATGTCTGATTACTGTCTGCTATTCTTCTGCTACTGGTCGTTTCCCTCTCTTCATCTCTCACGATATAGATGATCAGAACGGCTGAGCTGTGCAATGCAGTTCTCCTGCCCTTAACAGTAGGAGTTTAGGAACCTTTTTGGAAAGATTCTTCTTAAAACATACTGAAAGGCCTCAGTATCTGTGGGGACATTCACACTGATCTTCTGAACTGGTTGACAGGCATTTTATGTCTAGATGTAGCTTGGATTGTATTCCGCATTAAAACAGAAAATACAGGCATATAACAATACCTTTCAAGGTGGCAGTGAACACATGCAAAAACTTCATACATGCCTTTACTGCCCTGTTGCAAAGTAACTGTTGTTTGCTGGTTCACTGCTATCTGTTCTTAAATTAATAGCTCTTGAGTTCTAAAGGTCAGTAATTACACAGCCAGCAGTTGTGGGGGTTATTCACCTTTTCTTAGCAATCAATAAAGTTTTAGGCACGTTATTGCTAATTTTCAGCTACAGACTGTCATTTAATTTACAACTTAACAGACCCTTCATTTTTTAAATGCTTGAATAGTCATTTGACAGCTTGTGAAGTGGCAGATGAGGTTAAGAGCTAGATGTTGTCTAAGGGTAAATATGCATGGCAGGAAGGAAGAAAATTCACGGCGTGATGACAGAGATCTTCAAGCTAGCCTCTACCGCGCTTTCTCAGGGAAGTAAGGGGTTTTGTAACCCAGGACTAGGAGAATCATATCAGGTGTGGTACGTTTACGTATTAAAATGTAAGCCAGGTTATCACTTCAGTCCTGGCTTTTGACCTTGGCATAACATGGGATATTCATGTGCCCAGATGAAAGACAAGAACTCATGGATTCTCAGGCAGTGCTCGATACCTCAGAGGACGTGGCCTCTAGCAGCAATTCTCATGCATCCTACCGAGATGAATGTGTAAGATTTGTAATTGTCCATGAAACTGCGTTTTAAATGAGGCCACTGAAACTGCAGACTGTTTCTGGTAACGTTTAATCTTTTGTTTAAAAGATGTAAAATATTTAAGATAGCCTGGAGTGTTAGAAGGGCTACTTAGGAACTGGATTTTGCATGTTCACGCTGTCCCATATTCTGCCTTATGGAATGTAGATATTACCTGGACAGGTCTGTGTATTATAATGCATATTGCTCTGTGATTTGAAGACTACCATACATAAGAGCAGTATGTGTGGTCAAAATCAAAACTGCCAGTGTCTGCTTCGTTTTTATTTTCAGAACAACCATATCATTTACATCATTCAAAAGATTTTGATTTTTCTCAACCTCATAATACATTCTTCGACCTGAAGTACAAATTCACAGTAGCATCAGGGATATGATTTAAATTTTTAATCAATTATAAATGTTCTATTCGGTTCTACTTTTTTTTTTAAGATAAATATAATGCCCACAGATATGTCTCCTACTAGTTTCAGGGTTGCAAAAAGTAATCTAGGTGGTGGTGTGGATAGGTCAGATAAAGTTTTATCCCTGCAGGGAGGAGAGTAAAGGAATGGTGACAAAACCATTGTGCAGGCCAACAGGATGTAAAAGAATATGTTATGGAAATGTGTATGTGGTGTCCCACAGGTAAATGGGGTACCTTCACTTGAGATTTATTTTAGGTTATTCCATCCCTGAAACAGGGTAGTAAGAAGTAAGAAGTCAATAGCTTGCAAAGTGTCAGGAAATTCCCGGTCCAATGTCACTTTCAGGTCACAAGATTAACTGCTAATGGCTAGGAGTGTTCAGGAAGCAGTGCCTGTATCTGAAAATGCCACTCTGTGTCACTGTCACGACAACCAGTGGTGGCCGCTAAACAAGCGTGGGGTCTGAGCTGCTGCTTGGCACCGGCTCTCTGGGACTAGGCGTGACTCAGTTGGACAGAGTAGTATGAGGAAGCTTTTGCTGCCAGTTCACCTGGGTGGCCATGGTGGAACCCCAGGTATGTACCGCTTCTTTCCAAGGAAGCGCCAATATGGATGGTTGTCTTCTGAGATTCTTGCCAACTTTCTGTCTGCAGACTTCTTGGCACCCTAGCTGCAGAGGAATTGGGAAAAGTGACAGGAGCATAGGACAAAATATCTCATGTGACAAGTTCAATCCTTTTCTATAATAGGTTACTATGTTATGTAATCTCATTCATTAATTTATTAAGCTCCATCTTAAACCTATCCTTACTACTTGTATGAGGATGCTGTTTCAGAAACTCATCCTTTGGAAGGGCTGGGACCGCTCTCTTATTTTAAGCTTGAATTTATTCATAGCAAGGCTTGTTTTTGTTCTTTTACCAATGATGTCCTTCAGCTTTGATAATTCTTCTCCTTTGTGATTCTCGTGATCTGATGTGCTATCTTATACCCCTTAACCCTGTCTTCATTTTGGCAAGGTAAGCCAGCCAAGCTCTTTTAGTCTCTTTTAGTATGATATGATAGGCTCCCCGTTTTCTGATCAGCATCTTAGCCTTTCTCTGCCTCTGTTCAGGGAAGTTAATTTCTGTGAGTACTCAGAACTGTATATGCTGTCGAGAGAGGGTCTTACCAACCATTTGTTCAGTGGCAAGAAATCTTCCATATGTGTAATGGCAATGCCTCTCCTGATTTGTCACAGTCTTTGAAAGCACAACACACTAATGACTCACAATTCATCCACTAATGAACTGGTAACACATTTTTTCTCCTCCTTTTCAATTTCAACTGATGATTCTGCAGCATGCAACAAAAATGCTTGTTACTATTTCCTAGGCGTTCAGTCTTGTAATTTGTGTTGTTTCACTTGTTACTTTACTTGTCAAGAGTTTTTCTTTAATACTCTGAACATTCTGCGTATCAGTGATACCTCTTCCGTTAATGCTATGTTGTCTGTTTGTGCTGAAGCTGTGAAAGAGGACTTTTTAAGTATGACTGGTCCAAAGTTCAGTCCTTGAGACTTTGTTTACTAGCAGCCCTTCAGCCTAGTGGTTCTCTTCTCGGTGCAAACCACTTGTCTTCTCTTCATAGCCAATTTATAAGTTACAAGATCAGGAGTTAAAGAGGAAGAGCAGCACTCTTTGGCGCACTAACTATGTAAGGTCTCCGAGGAATATGAAACAATTAGGAAAGACCTATTAAAAGATGTGTGAGAGCAATACACTGATCAGGGCATTTGCAGGAGAAAAAATGAAATAAATAATGACATAGCAATAAATTTGGCCTGAACTTAAGGTAAAGGAGTACTGATCAGCAGCAGTATCACAGGCAGGAGGAGCAATTTTCATGCAGCACCTTTTAAGCCTGGTAGCCAAGGAAAGGAAATTGAAATCTCCAACAGCTGTCAGAACAGGACCCGGTAGTCCAGGACAAGAGATGGCAACTCCCAGATAATCTGTGGGGAATTCTTAATGTTCTGGGCAAATAGCAGGTTTTTATAGTAGGTGGTTCAAAAATATTGGGCAGATTTGGGAAACTACTCCTCTGCCTTTTTAAAAACATTTTGTACATTAATAAACATGCAAAGTTAAGTGTGGTTATATAGACTTTTCTGGATTACAGTTGCTTTCCAAATAAGCTCATTTTTTGCCCATGAAATAAAAATAGTATTGATGTCCACACATTTTGAGAGTGAAAAAGACTTTACTCATAGGAATTATTGATCGTGTCAATAAAACACAATTTTCACAGAAATTACCACAGTATCAAAGTCATATTCACGCATTTTAAGAAAACAACATTTTTTTTTCTCTATTGTATTGATTCATTAGAATAGTTTTCATTCATTTTGTGCATGGCAATTCATTGGGACCTTTCTGAGAATCTAATTTTTATTTCACATTAATAGTGAATCAGCCACTCATAACTGGAAATGAGAAGAGCAAAATCAGAGATGAAACTTCATTCTTACATTATTCCATGGTGTGTTATATCTTGATTTTTAAATTGACCATGAAACAATTCAATAGTTTCAGCTTTTACCTTTAAGAATATCAAAATGACCTTTTTTTTTTGCCTAGCAAAATATAGGGAGAAGAAATTAAATTTTTCAGTTCAAATAGTTGCTGAAAAGGGGCACTTTTGTCTCCTGTCTTTTAAGACTATTTTCTTTTGCCAGAATAGAGTTTAGCTGTTTGTCAGACTATATAGCTCAGTCCAGATCTCTAGGTAAATTAAAATCTTGATCTTATGCTGGCTTTCCTGACCCTTAGCCAGTCTTTAATGTGTTTTAATAGTTCTTCACTATCTCACTGACTGATTCTGTAACTCATGCCTGCCTTCATGAAATCCAGATGAGCGATTTTCACTATTTCTGTTCCAGTTAGTTCATTAATATTGGTGAAGACTCCAACTGCAGTTTTTTGGGCATATATTTTCTCCATGCATATCTGTCTGTAGTATAATAATATATCATTATTTTCTCCCCTATTAACCAAGGACCTTGCATTTTCCTTCATTGACGTTGACAGAGTGTCAAATTTTGAAACAATCTGAGTTATTTTGTCTCATCTATGGAGGAAAATTCTAGCAATTTTTTAAAAATTTCTTCTTCCTTTTGTGGGAAATGTAATACTTATTGCAAAACTGTAATGTTGGTTGTAGTAAATGCATTTCACGTGGCTAAAATAGACTTTTGGAATTGGAGGATGTAGTTTGTTGGGAGTTGTAATCCATGAATATCCCTGACTCTG